CACGCCCGGCTAATTTTTTGATTTATTGTAGAGATGAGGTCTCACCAAGTTGCCCGGGCGGGTCTGGCTCAGGCAATCCACTCACCTCAGCCTCCAAGGCGCGAGATTACAGGCTGAGCCACGGAGCCCGGCTGTGTGATTACTTTTTAATTCTACTATTCAAGCTTTGGACAAGACTGTGCTAAAAAGTGACCTACGTCACTCTGAAAAGAAAGCCATGTTTCTTATCTATTTTTTAAAAAGTCATCTGATGTCAGTGTTTTGCAGACTCACCCTTGACCCTCTGGCCCTTGGACATTATCCTTGTATGTGCAAAAAGTGCTATTAGGGAGTGAGTAGAACTCAAGGGGTGGAGCCTCTGTCTCTTCTGGAAGCCACGGTCCCTCAGTGCGCCTGCGAGACTCCCACGCCCTGGGAAGGATTCCTATCGATTCGCTCTGCGCTCGGCAGCTCTTTCTGTTAGCAGGCGGCCATCGTGCCTGGAGTCTGAGAAAGGGAGAAGAGAGCCAGAAGGAGCAAGCGACAGTGGTCTCAGGGCCGCCCCGGGGGCCTCAAGAGCCGGAGGCAGCCCCGGAGGTGGTCCCCGATCCTGGGCTATGCTCTTGGACCTGAGAAGGGAAGGCGGAGGGCGGTGGGGCCAAGATGGGTGGGAAATGTCAAGCAAAGATTGCTAGGCGGGGGAGGGACGTTGCTATGGCGACTGGGGCGGGGCGGTGTCAGGTCTGAATCGCTGCTGTGTGTCACCCGGGCGCTGCCCAGGAAGGGCAGGGCTGGGGTGATGACCATGGTAACAGCCGGGTGGGATTCTGTGACATTCCCAGCGCAAAAACACTCGGTCTCTATGGCAATGGTCGTCTGGCGGAAGGGGCGAAACTAGATTCCTTCTCCTGGGCCGCTGACATTCCAGGCCCTTGTCCTGCAGGCTTCCGCGGGCAGACACGCCAGAGGAGGAGGCCGGGGAATGGCCGCGGTGTGGCAGCAAGTCTTAGCAGTGGACGCGAGGTGAGGCGTGGGGTCGAAGCCCCTGGGAGCGGAACTTACTGTGGTGCATGCGCAATGGCGATAAGTGAGGCTGGGCGGAGAACTTGCCTTATGCGGCTGCGTGGGCATGCCGGAGGTGAGCATGCGCAGTAAGAGGGTGTGGGGGCACGCCCGCAGTGAGATGGCCAGGCTTGAGAGGGTTATAAAGAGCATGTTAGAAAAATGCGGTCAGGTGTGGGCATGCGCAAAGAGGCTGTGGGGGTGGGAGTGCTTATGGAGCTCAGGCTGGTGACATCCTAGCCCCCATGGGTGTTCCCCAGACTTCTCTTACCATCATCACTTCCCTATTCTGACCCCAGCACCACTCTACACTGACCCCTACCATTGCATTACATTAACCTCCATTGTCATGTCAGTCTGACTTGTATCACAATGCTAGACTGACCGCAATTGTCTGCATTGACTCACTTACCCCATACAGACCCCAGCAGAGCTGCAGACTGGCTCCATTTTCTTCATACTGACTTCATTGTTCTTATCACCATGATCATTATTACTACGGACTCACTCCCATTGCAGCACCAGGAGGTCTCCCATCACCACTGCTGATCATTCTTGTCACCCTGACCCCAATCACTGCCACACACCTCATTTTCCTTCCCTATTCCCTGAGCTGATTGAGTCCCTCTGTCCTGTGCCTGCTGCCTGCCCTACCTCCCGACCCCACAGGTACAACGCGTACCGCACACCAACGTTTCCACAGTTTCGGACCCAGTATATTCGCCGGCGCAGCCAGCTGCTGCGGGAGAATGCCAAGGCTGGGCACCCCCCAGCACTGCGTCGGCAGTACCTGAGGCTTCGAGGGCAGCTGTTGGGCCAGCGCTACGGGCCCCTCTCCGAGCCAGGCAGTGCTCGCGCCTATAGCAACAGCATCGTCCGCAGCAGTCGCACTACCCTTGACCGCATGGAGGTGAGCTTCTGGCCACACCTGCCCTCTATGCACACCACCTGCCTCCACACATTCACCCCACAGACTTTTGTCAAGTACCTGCTGTGTGCTGGGCACTGTTCTAAACAGCAGAGGACAAAAAGATATTATGCCAAATAGATATTAAGAGATATTGAAAGATACTAAGTCAATACACAGATAATAAACTTGACAAACAGGTCAATAAACATATAGCCTACTAAGTCTTGAGTATCTGCTGAGCAGGATAAGGGCAGGAGCAGCAGGACCGGTCAAGAAGCCACTGCAGGCAGTGATGGTGGGGATAGGGGACATGGTGAGAAGGGATCTGGTTCTGGGGAGATTTTTTTTTTTTTTGAGTTGGAGTCTCACTCTGTCACCCAGACTGGAGTGCAGTGGCTGCTCCCGGCCACCACAGCCTCGACCTGCTGGGCTCCAGAGATCCTTCCGCTTCAGCCTTCCAAGTAGCTGAAACTACAGGCACACGCTACTACGCCCAGCTCGTGTTAATTTATTGTAGAGATGAGGTCTCACCAAGTTGCCCAGGCGGGTCTCGAACCTGCGAGCTCAGACAATTCACTCACCTCAGCCTCCCAAAGGCACGGGATTACAGGCTGAGCCACCGACCCTGGCTCTGGGTAGATTTTGAAGACTCTGTGCCTCAAAGGTTCTTGAGGTCTGTTTTCAGGATTTGTCCAACCTGACCCTCTCCATTTGCAGGACTTCGAGGATGATCCTCGGGCCCTGGGGACCCGTGGGCACCTCCGTTCTGTTAGCCGCGGTTCCTACCAGTTGCAGGCACAGATGAACCGTGCTGTCTACGAGGACAGGTATGCACCAGAGGCAGCTGTGGGGTGGGGGGTTGTGAGGAAAGGGGCCATGGGGCATGGCAAGCTGAACACTTGCACCTACCTCCTGTCACCCCTCACTTCCTATTGGGGCACAGGCCCCCTGGCAGTGTGGTGCCCACATCGGCGGCAGAGGCAAGTCGGGCCATGGCCGGAGACACATCGCTGAGTGAGAACTATGCCTTTGCGGGCATGTACCATGTTTTCGATCAGCACGTGGATGAGGCAGGTGAGCCATTCAGTGGTGGGTCCCATCACCAAGCATTTGCCCAAACTGTGACAACTACCCCAAGCATCCTTTTTATGAATGCAAGGCCCTGGCACACCTCCAAGGAGAAATTACCATCCATAAGGCCTTTCACATACTGAAAAGGCCTCTGCAAAGTGGTCTGCAAAGTCTTGGCACTTTTTATACTGTAAAGGGCCTCAGAAACTTAAGAGAACACATTGCAGCAGACTGCCTGGGTTCGTGAGTCACTTGGAAGAATCCAAAGCTTTTGCCGATGATAAATCCCTTTGCAGAGGGCAGAGTGGGCTACAGTGTCAAGGGTTTTGCAAATTGCCAAGACCTTGGTGATTATACAGTGCTTGCTTAGACATAGGACCTTTCTCACAAGATTTTTGCAGTCTGCAAAGGAGCTGCTAAGATTTAAAAAACTTTTGGAAGGGGGCTTTCTGGGGTTACATCTCCCTTTATCAGCCTAGGAAACCCTTTTGCTGAGGCCACTGTGCCTTGTGTAGTGGGACCCCAGCCGTAGCACACACATCAGAGCCTTTCTTAAGAAAAGTGCCCAGTGAAGCCGGGCTCGGTGGCTCAGCCTGTAATCCCGCGCCTTTGGGAGGCTGAGG